GGAAATTAAAGCAACACTGAGATTCCACCTCGCTCCAGAAAGAATGGCTGTTATCAAGAAAGCAACCAGTAACAGGGGCTGGGGATTTAGCTCAGTGGTTCCACCACCTGCTTTGCCAGCGCAAGCACCTGAGTTTGATCCCTGGTACAAAAAAAAAAGAAAAGAAAGGAAGGAAAGAGAGAGAGAGAGAGAGAGAGAGAGAGAGCAACCAATAACAAATGCTGGGGGGGGCTGTGGGGAAAAAGGAACCCTTCTCCACTGTTGGTGGGAGTGCAGACTGGTGCAACTACTGTGGAAATCAATGTGGGGATTCCTCAAAAAAACTAGGGCCGGGGATTTAGCTCAGTGGTTCCAGTGCCTGCCTCACAAGTGCAAGGACCTGAGTTTGATCCCTGGTACCAAAAAAAAAAAAAAGACACAAGATATAAGTTATTTAATCTCTCAGTGCCTTGGAATTCCCTTCTACAAAACTGGAATAATACTACTAGAGCTGGGCATGTATATCATGTAAGGGTGCAAATTCCCTATGTTGAACGTTAGACTTCTGTATACCTAAAATGTACCAATAGCTGTTTTTGCTTAATGAATTAACTAATTAAAAGCAATATCTATATTCCTGTACAGGCAGTTAATTTATGGTGGCTAAAGAAATCACTGCACATGGCAAGAGTTAACTAGGAAAGGAGCAGGGAAGGACTTTCCAGGAAGGAGGAAATGTTATAAACCTCAGTTGGGCTGACAATTACATCTGTCAAAATGCTCCTTCAGGACTTGTGCGCTTCACTCTGGAAATTACACATGCACGCACTCAACACCAGACTAAGCGGAGACAGAACCGGAAGAAAGTTGTGAATGTGCAGACATAGTAGGCTGCAGAAAGAGGAACCCCACATATGGCCCCCTGGGAGCCCCAAGTTATGACCAAAATAAAGCACAAATAGATTTGGGGACTCTAAAAAAAGCAAAGCTATCTAGGCACTACGTAAAAGCCCCAGAAGGCATTAGAAACCAAAGATAAAAGAGGCCTGCCTGCTGTGTATTGGATCGAAGTGAACAGAGCCTTTGGGGTTTAATGGTCTTTTTTTTTTCTTTGTTTTGTTTTATTTTGTGCTGAGGATGGAACCCAGGGCCCTGCATATGCTACCCAAGAGCTCTACAAATGAGCACACCCCAGCCTTCTCAGTCTTTTAGAGCAAAAAGATCCCTGTGCCCAAGAACAGCAGGGAAGTTGACAGAGAGATATCCAGACTGGAAAGTCCATGCTGACAGCACAGTGGGTCCCTCGGGTGGCCCAGGTGTTCCAAAGACTGTGAGCCAGAAGACCAGAAAAGCCAGAACTTATGTTCTAGACACTACACTGAGGGTAGCTGAGGAGGAGGGGACCCAGGCAAGTAGGTTGCTGCACAACTGTAATCCCAGCCCTGAGGAAGGCTGAGAAAGGGTGGAGGCAATAGCAATTTAGTGGGACTTTGTCTCAAAATTTAAAAAAAAAAAAAAAAAAAAAAAAACACTTAAAAGAGATAGAGCCGGACATGGTGGCGCACACCTGTAATCCCCCGCACTCGGGAGGCTGAGGCAGGAGGGTCGCTGTGAGTTCAAGACCAGCCTGGGCTACATAGTGAGTTCCAGGTCAGACTCAACTACATAGTGAACTAGACCCTGTGTCAAAACAAACAAACAAACAGAAAAAAAGAGGCAGAGATGTACCTTAGCGATAGAGTATACCAGGGTTTCATGGATAGTACTAGAAAGAGAAGGAGAAAGAGGAAGAACAGAAAGACAAGAGGAGAACGAGTGGTAACAAACACCTGTAATCCCAGCACTCGGGAGGCTGAGGCAGAATCACGGTGAATCCCAGGCCACCCTGGGCTACACGGTGAGTTCAGGGGCAGCCTGAACTACAGAGAGAGACCTTGTCTCAAAAAAAAACAAAAGGGCCGGGGATTTAGCTCAGTGGTTCCACCGCCTGCCTCGCAAGCACAAGGTCCCAAATTCAATCCCCAGTACCATAAACCAAAAAAAAAGAAGACAGAGAGAAAACTCATCACTGAACCTCCACATACCGACTAGAATACTAGAATAGTGCCTTGAACATAACAGACATTCAGAAAACATTGATTTAATTAATTTATAAGTAAACTATGTACTTTATACAGATTATCTCATTCACTCCTCATCATGAGCACTGAAACAAGTTTTTGGTTTTTGGGGGGTTGTTTGTTTGAGAGAGGGTCTCTGTGCTGTCCAGGTTGGCCTCAAATCCCTAGGCTCAAACAATCCTCCTGCCTCAGCTCCCTGAGTAGTTAGGACTATATGTGCTCACCCCCATGCCCAGTCTAGTATTATTGTACAAGGGAAAACCAAGGCACTGAGAGATTAAATAACTTATGCAGAATCATTCAGTCAATACATGTCTCAGTGGATACCAACTTGCAGTAAAAATACCAAGGAACAAGGCCACATACAGTGGTACACTCTCATGTAATCCCAACTACTCAGGTGGCTGAGACAGGAAGATCAAAAATTCAAGGTCATTATGGACAACTTAGCAAGACCTGGACTCAAAAAATAAAATGGGCTGGAAATGTAGCTCAGTGGCAGAGTTCTTGCCTAACATGCATAAAGCCCTGGGTTCCACTCTGAACACCACAAAAAAATAAATAAACTAAGATACCAAGGACCAGATACATTGCTCTTTTCTAGCTTAGTCATTTATAAGCTGTCCCCATTCAGAAGAAAAATGGACCTCAGTTGACTGAGATTAAATATCCACCATTCTGGTAGAACGGGAGTTCCAGAGAAACAAATGCATAAGTAAAACATTTCTTGTGAATCTGAGTTTAGAGAAATATGATTGTATCTGCTCCACTGAAATTTTCTTATTTAACTCATTCAAATGAAGCCATGAAACAAAGAAAATAAAAAATAGAAGGAACATGAACAATAACATTCTAAGGACTAGGACTGCAGCTCAGTGATAGAGCACTTGCCTAGTATGCATGAGCCCCTGGGTTCCACCTCCAGCCTGGAAAGTAATAATAACAATGTAGGCCTAAATTCAACCAAATCAATAATTATATTAAATGTAAATGGTCTAAAAACACTCATTAAGCCAGGCCTGGTGCCACACACCTTTATAGTGGACCCCCAAAATTCACAAGAATTACATTCCTACAAACTGTGAAAAACTGAATTTCAGTTATGGTCAGAAAATATCTGTGTCTATTTTTATAGTTTAAACCCTAAATAGTCTGTTTCCAGCAGTTATGCAATTTAATTTAATTTAATAAAATACTATATTAATAAAGCCTTAGAAGGTGCAGGGCATTTTGGCAGCATTTTAGGGATCTTAAGGCTTTAAGAACAAAACCACTGGGCATGGTGGCACACCCCTGTAATCCCAGCACTCAGGAGGCTGAGAAAGGAGTATCACTATGTAGTTGAGACTGACCTGGAACTCACTATGTAGCCCAGGCTGGTCTTGGACTCACAGTGATCCTCCTGCCTCAGCCTCCCGAGTGCTGGGATTACAGGCATGTGTCACCATGCCCAGCTAACTATGATTTTTATAGTTAAGATTCTGAACTGTTTTTGTTTAGGTTTGATTTGGTTTTTATGGTACTGAGGATTGAATCCAGGGCCCCTGCACTGAGTGCCATACTTGGCCTTTTTTTATTTTTTTATTTTGAGATGAGGTCTTGCTAAGTCACTAAGTTGCCCAGGCTGGGCTCAAACTTGTGATCCTCCTGCCTCAGTCTCCCAGAAAATTGGAAATATAGGCATGTATCAACATGCCCAGAAGATTCTCAACTTTGACACCAGCTATATGGGCCCACATCTCAGGTCTGACACTAGTTTTTTGTTGTTGTTTTGTACCAGGGATTGAACTTGGGACCTTGCACTACAAGGCAGGCAGCGGAACCATTGAGCTAAATTCCCAGCCTAAATGAACCTTGATCTAAAGCTCATATCATTTGTTTGTTTAGGTTGTTGTAGTTTTTTGGTTTGGTTTTTGATTTTTTGTTTTGTTTTGTCTTGTTTTTTGTTTTTTGAGGCCGGGTCTCACTATGTAGTTAAGACTGATCTGGAACTCACTGTGTAGCCCAGGCTGGTCTTGAACTCACAGCAATCCTCCTGCCTCAGCCTCCCGAGTGCTGGGATTAAAGGTGTGCACCACCACGCCCGGCTTTGATTTTGGGGTTTTTGTCGGGGGGGGCTTTTTTTTTCTGACACTAGCTTTGAGTGACCACAGGCAAGTTGCTTACATACTATACCTGAGAGTCCCCATTTGTGAAATGAAAATGATACGTACTATCTTCCAAAGGGCAATATTACCTAACTGCTATAGTACTAAGTCAAGACAGCTGTTTACAGGTATGCCAGTCCTCCTTCGGGATTACACAGGTTAAACCTTACTTTGCTACCATCCTAAAGGACAGAAGTATTCACGTGACTTGCTCTGTAAGAATGAGTGAAAGCTTCCAGAGTCAGTGTACGATTTGATATGGGGTCTCTCTGTTACTGCAGCATAACAGAACCTCTCCTGACAGATCTACTCATGTATAGAGTTAGGAAAACCGCATGTCCTCGTGCATGTAAGGTGTAAGTACTTGCAATACACCCTGGAAAACAGAAAGTGCTAGACGTGCTATTTCCATGGTAGAGATAAAAATGAAACTTGTAGTAATTAAAGAAACACATGCAGGATTTGAACTCAAAGCATATCCTCTTAACTTCTGCATGATTCCAACTCAGGAAAACTCGGCCATTAAAGTTTAATAACTCAAAAGTGATTTTTTTTTTTTTGAGACAGGGGCCTCCCTGCATAGTCCAGCCTGGCCTGGAACTCGTCAGGATCACAGGCAGGTGCCGCCAGACCCATTTGGGTCATTTAAAAGTAAATCTAATTTCCCTCCATCCAGGCAAGGAGAGGGTGTGTGATTTGTGGAAGCCACGCAGGCTGGCCTTGCAGGTCCCGAGAGCTCAGCAGGGAGACTTACGTGCTCAGCCAGACTATCAATGATGACCAAATGTGAGTAGTTCTCCTGGCAGAACTGCCGGGCGTCATCCCATGACTTGGTGCCCGGGGAGAAGTAGTAGCACTTGCTCTCGAACGGGAGCCAGTCGTCAGGGCAGGTAACCTTGGTACATTCTGGGAACAGGACAGGATGCTGTCAGGGGGCTCTGTGGTCATGAGATACACAGTACACCACGTGCAGTTGTGAAGTCACATCGACTCTCAATATTCAGAGTATAAAAACGTAACAAAATTGTGATTTAATAAATTGTAAGCAGTCAATAAATAAATTCTTAGAGATATAAGATTTAAAATCTGGTACTAAAAGTATGGGCATGCTGGAAGTCGGCAAGTAACTAAAGAAGAAAGTTGGTGAGTAACGAAAGTGTCAGAAACTTCCCTCTGTAAATTCACCTCCCAGTGGCATTACAAGTGATTCCTTGAAATTCAATGTATTGGTCAAGATATGATATCATGATGTAGATATATATGCCAATTCCTCACAATGAATGTATTTATTATATATTACAAACACACACTATAAAAAACATTATAATAAAAACAAGATGTACTCACTTAGGAATGATCCCACATGTATTAATCCATGAAAAAAGGTAAGAAAATGCTACAATACATTTAAGTAGATTCATGCACTCTAAACCAGATAAATGTTTACAAGGAAAGGGGATTATAGACACACCATTCCGAGGCATGCAGATTTTCAATACAGGATAAACCTACTCAAATGCAGGGAGTAATGGAGAATAGTTTCTCTTGTTGGCCAACACTAGAGCTGGCTCTGCATGTCACCCATCTGTGGGCAATTCTCCAGCCCCTACTCACCTAACAAGGCCCGAAGTTCCGCCAGGGACTGGTTTGTGTAAGCTCTTACATGGTCAATGTCCTTCTTCAGGCCTGCCAGCCCTCCCACGCCAGTCACTGTCAGGGGGATGAGCCAGAGGGTTAGAGAGAGAATCACCTCCACCTACCCGCCACCCTCCGGCTGCAGACACGGAGAGAGAAGGAAGAAGAAACTGCCCTCAGGTTCTAGTGGGTCTGGTCAAAATCCAGAACAGCTCAGAAAAGGGATCCCTGCCTGGGACTTAGGAGGATTGGAAATGGAGGACTTCCTGAAGGTGGCTTTTAAAGGAAAAGGGTGATTCAGGTGCTGGGGGTGGTCACAGCAGGTGGGCAGGGACACCCTTCCTCTCTTGGACTGTGTTAAATCTGGTATTTTATACTCATGTGGGTGATAATTCAACTAACGACTGTCTATAGCTGTGCTGTCCAAAAAACACATAATGTCAATTACGTGATGCAATTTTATTTTGTGGGGGGTGGGTTTTGTTTTTGTTTTTTGAAACAGGGTCTCACTATGCACTTCAGGCTGCCCTTGAACTCTATGTAGCCCAGGCTGACCTCAAACTCATACCATCCCTCCTGCCTCAGTCTCCTGAAAACTAAATTTACATGTGTGTACCACTACAGCCAGCTATGCAATTTTAAATTTGTTAGCCACTTTCTTCATTTTATTTAAAACAAGATCTCATTAAATTGCCACGGCATTTCGATCCCTGGTACCAAAAAAAAAAAAACAAAATTGCCACAGCTTGCCTTGAACTTGTGATCCTCCTGCTTTAGCCTCCTAAGTAGCTGAGAATACAGACAGGCTTATGCTACCACACCTGGATATAGCCATATTTTTAAGTCAAGAAAAATAGGTAAAATTAAATTGAAGGCTGAGGGAGTTACTCAGTGATAGAGCATTTGCCTACCATGCATGAGGCCCTGGACTCCATCATCAGCACCATCCAAAATAATTAATGAAGTGCTATTTTTTAATTTATCCCTATGTACCCTCAATATTATCATTTCAACATATATTCCATATTTTTAAAATATTCGTTTTTGGAGATACAGTACACTCTTTCTAGAAGCAAGTTCAGCCTCTTTGGCCAAATCAAAATAACACTGAGATTCCATCTTACTCCAGCAACAATAACTATCATCAAGGACTCGAAAAACAACAAATGCTTGCAAGAATGTGGAGGAAGGAAGCCCTTCAACACTGTTGGTGCAAATGTAAACTAGTAGAACCACGATGGAAGTCAGTACGCCAATTCCTCAAAACAGCTAAAAGTAGAATTATCTGTCTTCTAGGTATCTTTCAAAAGAGTTAATTTATCATTTATAGTAATACATGCAGATCTATGTTTATAGCAACACGACGGATAAAGCAAATGTTGTAGTTATACACCATGGAGTACTACTCAGACATAAAGAAGCATAAATTTGAGTCATTCTTAGAAAAATAGATGGATTTCAAGACCATAATGCCAAGTACAATAAATCAAACTCGGATTAAATAGTGCATGGTTTCTCTTACAGAAGAAATTGAAAATATAGATAATTTAAAGAGCAAACTAAAAGAGAGATGGTAGGAAATAGGGAGATAAACTTTCAGAAAGACAAAGGGTATCCAGGGAGAAGAGATGGCAAGGGAGGAAGGGAGAATAAAATTGATTAAGATGTGGTACGCATGGGGCCAGGGATGCAGTTCAGTGGTGCTACACCTGCCTGGCAAGTGCAAGGTCCAGAGTTCAATCCCCAGTACTGAAGGGAAAAAATTATATATATTTAATGTATGTATGTATATGTACCAGTATCTCAAGATTAATGTAACTGTTAAGTACTGCAAATATGTACTAAGAATAAAAAAGATGTAACAAATGAAATTAGTGTGCATTTCACAGTTACAGTGCAGCCCTATTTTTGTTTGTTTGTTTGCTTTGGTTTTGGTTTTTTTTGAGACAGGGTCTCACTATGTAGTTGAGACTGACCTGGAACTCACTGTGTAGCCCAGGCTGGTCTCGAACTCACAGTGATCCTCCTGCCTCAGCCTCCCAAGTGCTGAGATCACAGGCATGCGCCACCACGCCCAGCACGCAACACATTTTAAACTGGCCATGTTTTAAACCCTCAATAGCTACATGTGGTTTGTGGCCACCACCTTGGAGAATGGAGGTTTGGACACAAGTGCATGTGCGCGCGCACACACACACACACACACACACACACATTTCATGGGGACAGGTACATGATAAGGACTATGTCTGATTTGTTCACCACTCTACCCTCACCATTAGCACCCAGCACAGTGCCTGAGCAAGATGGAGACTGGCTGGTCTTGGACAAGGTTTCAGGACAGTGCAGATTCTAGCCATGCCGACAGGAAGCAATGACTGAAAGTGCTCACCATTTTCCTGCCATGCCTTCTGCTGGACAGACACCATTCTCAGTGTTTCCACCACCTCCTGGTCTGCAAGGAAGAGGACAGCCTGCACCCGGGTCCTCCAGTGCCCCCTCCCCAATCTCTCTCCAGGCCCCACCCCATCCCTACTCACACTTAAGGACGGCCACAGCCAGACTGATGCCACTCAAGAGCAGTGAAGTCGCCACCAGCAGACACAGGAACATCAACAACCTCTCCTCCCAGTGACATCCAGAACCCCTGGACTTCTGACTGGTCCAGGGTCCTGGAGTCGCTGGGGCTGGGGCTGGAGACAGAAAAACCCATACTGGTGCTTCAGAGAGCAATTAAGGGATCCTTGAGGTTTTCTCCAAGAGCAGAGGGGACAAAGGTCTGTGGTCTTGTCTGTGTCACCAGACAGGGACAGTAAGAGTGTACTGAGGAGGCCAGAATATGTGTATGGAGCATCAATTATGTGCTAGGCATCATGTTCTGTCTCTCTGATCTTATTGGAGCCTCATCCCTACAATGATGTAAAGATAAGATTAGTCCCACTTTTGCAGGTAAGTAAACTGAGGCTTGGGGAGGTTACACATGACTGGGACCCACCTTTGCTCTTAATACCTTCGATGCATTATTTCCTACTCTCCAACATCACCTGCCCAAGTGGCTCTCCAGTCAAGGAATCTGGTGGACCCTTTCTTCTGGGGCACAGGACATTTCCTATTTCCTCTGCTCCTCCTCTTCCTCCTCCTCCTCCTTCTCCTTTTCCTGCTTTTTCTTCTCCTCCTTTCTCCTTCTTTGCAATATAGTTATTGAACCCAGTGCCTTTGCACTAAGCTACATCTCCAGACTTTTCTTCTAGATTTTAATTTTATTTTGAGACAAGGTCTCACTAAGTCACTAAGTTGCACATGCTGGGCTTGAACTTGTGATCCTCCAGCCTCAACCTCCCAGAGGCTGTCGTGCCGGGATGACAGGCGTGCCCACCGCACCTGGCTCCTGCATCTTCTGTAAGTAGGAAAGGAGCCTGAAGAGTCCTCAGAAAACACTCTGACTCCCTGGGAGCCTGGCCTAGACTCAGGAAGGACCAGTTTTTGAAGGAGAAGCACCTCTGTTTCAGGTTCTCACTTTACAGCTGTTGTTCTGGATCAAATGCACTGCCTACCAGGAGGGGGAGCTAGGGAGCCACCGGAAGGGACCGAGAACTTACTGGTTAGGGAAGGCGGGAACGAAGGCGGATCCCGATGTGTGACACCTTGGAGGAATAAAGAGAGAGGTTTGTCCCGAAGTTGCTGAGAGACTCTTGTTTCCCCAGACCAACACCCCTGCTTTGTCCTCTGGACAGAAGTGGGGATGGGAAGGAAATGTCCAGTTGGCCCTTCTCCAGCTCCTTAAAGGGTTTCCCCACTGCTCACCCAAGGGATTAGATGTGGAGGTGACTGGAGGGAGGTCCAGGGCTGCAAGGAGCAGAAAGACAGTTGTCATTCAGAGCAGGGATTCAGCCAGGCGAGCAGGAAGCTCCCAGCCCTCGGCTCTCACCTGTGATCTTCGGGGGCTTTCGAGGAAGAGGGGAGTTCTCCACTTTCTTTCCTGCCAAAGGAAGAATGATTGCTCAGGCCCAGAGCAGGGCAAAACTAGCCCTGGGTCTTCTGTATCCCCAGCCCCAGCTCACCTGCCTTGGGTGGCCTCGGTGGTGCCACTGAACCTGGAAAAGAGAAACTCTGAGTTAGGGCAGATGTCAGGATGGGCCCAAGATTGAAGGAAGGGATAGAAACAAGGTAAAGGTCAGCGTGGAGGGTTGGAGATGAGGGTAGAGATGGAGTCGAGTGTGAGAATTGAATCAGGATGAGACAGGGGACAGAGTTAAAGCATAGTGACCAGCTGGGTGTGGTATTGCACGCCTGTGAGCCCAGCACTTAGGAGGCTGAGGCAGGAGGATCTCAAGTTGGAGGCCAGACTGGAATACATAGCAAGACCCTGTGTAAAAAAACAAAAACAAAGGAGGAGGGAGGAGGCAAAAAGGAGGAAGGAGGAAGAAGAAAGAACAGAAGGAGAGAAGAAGCAGGAGAAGGCAGAATGACCACTTTGAATTGCGTAGGCATTTTGAGAGATGGAGTCTCCCCACGTAGCCTCCTGAGTAGCTGGGACTGTGGAAATGCACCACCTTTCAGCTAGATTTTCTCAGTTCAGATCCCACGTCAAGGGGGAGGGGCGTGTGAAGGGAGGGGAGGGGATTGAGAGAAAAAGAAGAATCAAGATAAACCATGTACAGGTACAATTTCCCTATGATGAATGGGTTCATTATGTCTACTTAAATTGTACCAACAAAATTAATTTTTAAAAAAAATTTAAAATAGGGGCCAGGGATGTAGTTTAGTGGCACCAAGTCTGTCTGGCAAGGGTAAAGTCCTGAGTTCGATCCCCAGTACTGAGAAAAATAAAACAAAATAAAAGCAGATTCCCACATCACGGGAAACTCCTCCATCCCGAGTGAACTGGGACATCTGGTCATCCGAATCAAGGTCACAGTTGCGTTTGGAAGTGAGGATGGAGCTCATGTTGGGACGGAGTGACAACAGATGGGGTGAAGACCACAAAGGATGTGGGTCCGATGGTAAGACAGTGTGGTTAGAATGCATCATTACTAGGTTCCGAAAGGGGGGAGGAGCAGAGATCAAGCAGGCTCTAGTTTTGAGAGAAAGGACGAAGTTGAGGTTGGGGCTATGGTGATGAAACTGGACTTTAACCTGGGCGAGGTGGTGCACACTGGTATTCCCAGCACTCGGGAGGCTGAGGCAGGAGGATCGCTGTGAGTTCGAGACCACCCTGGGCTACACATCATTACTAGGTTCCGAAAGGGGGGAGGAGCAGAGATCAAGCAGGCTCTAGTTTTGAGAGAAAGGACGAAGTTGAGGTTGGGGCTATGGTGATGAAACTGGACTTTAACCTGGGCGAGGTGGTGCACACTGGTATTCCCAGCACTCGGGAGGCTGAGGCAGGAGGATCGCTGTGAGTTCGAGACCACCCTGGGCTACACAGTGAGTTCAGGAGACCAGTGAGTCTCCAACTCACGGCTACACAGTGAGTTCCGGGTCAGTCTCAACTACATAGTGAGACCTTGTCTCAAACACAGCCCCCCCCAAATAAAGAAAAGTTTTAAAAAGCTAGGAAATAGCTAGTGAATATATAGATATAGTGTGAGGGCCCTGGGTTCAGCTCTCGGTACCACAAAAGAAGAAAGGGACGGAGGGAGGGAATGAAAGGGACAGGAGAGGAAGAAGGAAGATTGTCTCAAACACAGCCCCCCCGCCAAAAAAAGAAAAGTTTTAAAAAGCTAGGGATATAGCTAGTGAATATATAGATATAGTGTGAGGGCCCTGGGTTCAGCTCTAGGTACCACAAAAGAAGAAAGGGACGGAGGGAGGGAATGAAAGGGACAGGAGAGGAAGAAGGAAGCGCCTTGTCCCAGTGGGGTGGCCCCAGGCCAGCCACACCGGAATGCAGACCCACCTCTGGCGACAGCGCACTTAACACACGCAGGAGGATCACTGGAGACCAGGAACTCAAGACCAGTGTAGGCAAGATCAGTGAGACCCTAACCCCAGAAACAACGAAAAGACCTAGCATTGGATGTAAATGCAGGGATGCCAGAGAACCAACAATCATTGCATTTCTGAGACACCAGCTTTCATGCCTCAGCAACTCTGCGCCCACCAGTGTCTTCCCGACAAATCCCTGCTGGCGCTTCAAGATCCACTCTAGTGTCCTCTCCTCCGATCTCCACCAGCCCTCGCCCTTGAAGGAGAATCCTCAACTCCCCTCAGCATCTCTCCCCCCGCTCCCTTCACCCCTTCCCTCTCCATCTACGCGGTGCCCAGACTGCCTCCTCATCAGACTCCCAGGTCTTTATGGGAAGGGTGTAGCTCCAGGGCTCTCATGCCACGGTGCCTGCTGGAGCGGGCACAGAGGCAACTGTATGTACAATCCCCAGCCAGCGCCCCTGGCGAGCCTGCTCCCGCCCTGAGAATCCTCCTACCTGGCTTTGGAGGAAGGTCCTTATAGAGGGGTGCTGAGTTCTCATAGTCCTCTCCATCCTCCTCCTTCTCCGTGGGCCCTTCCAGAGAAAAGGCCAGTCAGGTCCCAGCCCATTCCTTCCTTCAGCCCTCAGGCCCTGGTCCCAACCCCAGTTCGCTGCAGCCGTACCTGCTTGGTGCTTGGTGTTGGTGTACAGGCTGTACATGGCTGTGGGTAGCATAAGGAGCTGCGAATGGCAGCCAGGACTTCGTAGCTTCTGCTGAGTTCCCTCCTACTTAAGGGTCTGGGGATTCTCAGTTCCTTTTTTTTTTTCTTTTTTTAGTTCCTTTTTTCTTTAAAAGTCAACTATATGCAAATCTATCTTGAGAAGAAACCCTCTTTTTTTTTTTTTTTTTCCCTTTGGTACTAGGGATCGAACTCAGGCCCTTGCACTTTCGAGGCAGGCGGCAGAACCACTGAGCTACATCCCCAGCCCCGAGAAGAAACCCTCTTGATTCCACACATACATCTGTCTCTCCCCCACCCCCCGATGGCACAGCAGTGACAATGGCACAGACCCTGGTGTTGGGCTCTGAAAGAGCACCAAGCGTAGGTGACAAAAGTGGGTGAGCTCCTCCCTGCACGGGACTTTCCATCCAGACAGGAGAGACAGTGAAGCCCTGAAGGAGCAGAAATAAGCAATAGTCTGCTTTGTTATATTTGATTTCCAATACTGACTTAGTATTATTTTTCTTTTTTTTTTTTTCTTTTATTCCAGTGTGGGGAATCCAACTCAGGACCTTGCACTTGCGAAACAGTCGAGGTGCCACTGAGCTAAATCCCCAGCCCTACTTAGTATTATTTTTAAAAGACAGTGGGATAGGATAGGATTAATGTAGAGAGGTGGTCAGGAAACACCTCCTGGAAGTGGTGATACTTGTAATAAGATAGAAAAGTGATGAGCTCTAGGCACTCCCATGTTCCTTAATGAAGTGCTGGGATGCTAGTTTGGTTATCTACAGCTGTGTGACAAAACACTTCAAAACTTAGTGACTTAGGGCCAGGGATTTAGCTCAGCGGTTCGGTGGCCTGCCTTGCAAGCACAAGGACCCGAGTTCAATCCCCGGTACCAAAAAAAAAGCAAAAAAAACTTAGTGACTTAAAGCAACAATGACCCAGGTGTGATGGCGCACACCTGCAGTCTCAGCTCTTTGAGCGGCTGAGACAAGGGAATTGCAAGTTTGAGTCCAGCCTGAGCAAGTTAATGACTTAGTGAGAACTTGTCTGAAAAAAAATTTTTTTTAAGTATAAAAAAGGCTGGAGATGTAGCTCAGGGCAGAAGTCCTAGGTTCAATACCCAATATCAAAAAATAATAATAATAATTTAGGGCCGGGGATTTAGCTCAGTGGTTCCGCCACCTACCTTGCAAGCATAAGGACCCGAGTTCAATCCCCGGTACCCCCCAAAAAAAATTTAAAAATATAAAAAAAGCCAGGCGTGATGGCACATGCCTGTAATCCCAGCACTTGGGAGGCTGAGGCAGGAGGATCACTGTGAGTTCGAGACCAGCCTGGGCTACATAGTGAGTTCCAGGTTAGTATCAACTACATAGTGAGACCCTGACTCAAAAAAATAAAAATAAAATAAAAATATAAAAAGGGCTGGGGGGAGGGCCAGGGATTTAGCTCAGTGGTGCCACCACCTACCTCACAAGTGCAAGATCCTGAGTTCAATCCCTGGTACCAAAAAAAAAAGGCTGATGGTGTAGCCCAGTGACAAAGCACTTGGCCTGGCATGTGCAAGGACCTGAGTTCAGTCCCCAGTAGCAAAAAAGCAAGGCAGAATAAGAATGAATACATTATGTCACAGGGACTATAGCTCAGGAATTTGACAGCAACTTAACTGGGCTTAGGGTCACTCATATAACTGTAGTCAAGAGAATGCCTGGATGCCCCCGTTTATCGTGGCACTATTCACAATAGCAAAGATGCTAAACCAGCCCGAGTGCCCACCAAGAGTGGAACAGATAAAAGAAACATGGGATTAACACGATGGAGAATTAACCAGAAAGAAGGATGAAACTCTCATTTACAGCAACATGGATGGTCCAAACTGGAGGACACAGCGTCAGGTGAAATAAGCCCAGACACAGAAAGATAAGTACTGCTTGTTCTCTTTGATACGTGGAAGCTAAGAAAATACTCAGCCTGAAAGTAGAATAGGGATCGCTAGAGACTGAGAAAGCTGTAGGAGGGGAAAGGTAGAAAAAGAGACATGGGACTTGGTCCATGCACAATACATACATGAATGGGAATATGACAGTGCACCGCATCAATATATACAATTAATGTGTGCTAATGACAGTTGTAATTCTAATCAAACAATAAGCAACTTAAAAGTGGTTTCTAAGATAAAGCCTCAGAGTTGGACCCCCTACACAGTCCAAGTCACGATGTAACATTTTGTAACGCTTTCTTACACATATTAGATGATTTTGTAATACACATACCATACTCAATAAATAAATGTTTTTTTTTCTTTTGACTTCTTTTTATTTAGGGGTTGGAAGTGTTGAGGATTGAAACCAGAGCCTCATAAATGCTAGACAAGTTCTCTACCACTGAGCTACATCCCCACCCCCAATAAATAAAACTTTGGATTCCAAAAGAAAGAGGGGTAAGGAGGGAAAGAGGGAGGGAGTGACAGGGGCGGGGGAGGAAGGAAGGAAGGGAGTCTGACCCATCAGTCTCTGAGGACCTGACTAACAGCGGAGGATCCAAAATGGCGCACTCAGTGGCTGTTGACCAGAAGTCTCTGGTGCTCGCCACGTGAGCCTCTCCAAGGTGACTGCCACGTGAGGACTCTCACTTCATCAGTGGATTAATCCAGGGACGGAGTCCTAATCCAGGACACTGCTGAGAGATGATGGAAATTTAGGAGGTAGAACCTAACTACATGAAGCGGGTCACGGGGAATGAGGCCTTGAGGACTAATCTTGTCCCTGACCTCTCCCCCCTGGGAAGCCTGTGTGTGTGTGTTCGTGTGTATGTGTGTGTGTGTGTGATTCAGTGAGCAGCTCTGCCATGATGTTGTGTTCAGGATACCTCAGGCCTAAAGCAATGGGCTCGGGGGGCCATGATGGAAACCTCTGAAACTGAGCCCGAGACAAACCTTCCTCCCCTAGGTGGTCTTTCCCCGGTCTTCCTCTATCATCCCGGTGACAGAAAGCTGACCCACACAGCTGGAAAGGTGGCCATCTGTTGGTGATACTGGTAGACGTAACCTCACAATGCAGCCAGCAGCACAACACAGCCCCTCTGTCTTCCTCTCTGATCCATCGTTACTTACACTTTGTCTACTTCCTTCACCTCCACCTGCTCTACATGTTCCCTGCCCTCCACCTTTGGTTTAGCCCTCGAGGATTGCTTGACAAAATACCACAGGTTGGGGTGGCTTAAACAGCACCAACCCGTAGTCACATGGCTCTGGAGTCTGGAAGCCCAAGACCAAGGCGCTGGTTGGTGTCTGTGGAGGGCCTTCTTCCCAGTTCCTTCTTTTTCTCTTTCTCCCTGCCCATTCCTGGAGTCTTTTCCTCTTCTAACAAGAACGCCAGTCCTTTTGGAGTAGGTCCTCGCCCTTATAACCTTGTTTAATCTTAAGTGACCTCCTCAAAGGTCTCAGCTCCAAGTACAGTCACGTGGGGGTAAGGGCTTCAACCTATGAATTTTGAAGGGACACGATTCAGTCTGTAATGCCTCTCCCATCCGTCTTCCCCCAGAACAACCAGAGTAATGCTGACAAATATAGATCAATCAGGATAGCGATGGAACTCAGTGGTAGAGAGCTTTGCTGGCTTGCACAAGGCCCTCGCTACAGTGCCCAGCACCACACACACGCACAGGAACACACACACACACACACACACACACAATGGATAAACAGACAGGTGGATAGATAGATGGATGGATAGACAATAGATAAATACATATAGATAGAGCACCTATCTAGCCCCCACATAAGACCCTCTAAAGAGAGGAGAATAAATTTTATTCTAACTACAGGGGGAAGGTATTGTCACAGATGATGGCAGAGATCTGGATTTAGTTTCAGAAGAAACAGAGTTTACATAGACTGAGATGTGAAAGCTGGGTGTGTTAGTTACTTTTCTCTCGTTGCTGAGACAAAAATACCTGACACCCGAAGTTCAAGGGGAAAGGGTTTATTTAGCTCAGCTTGTAGAGGTTTTAGTCCATAATCGGTGGCTCCAAGGCAGAGGGGCACCTGGCACAGGGGCATCACAGAGAAACAGTTTGTGGCACTCATGTGGTAGTGAAAGCAATTAAGAAATGAACAGTGTCTTTTAGCCCCTTTTATCTTATCCAGACTACCAGGCTTAGAGTGATGCCAAACCATTCGGTGTACCGGTGTAGGAATCACACACACCTACTCCCAGGGTCACACACTCTAGATTCAGTGACCTCTGAAAAAGCCCCACGACCTCAGGAGGCTTTGAGGGGACATCTAGACATGAACCGTAACAGATCGGGGGATGAAAAAGTCAGAGTTTGGTTTCTCCCCATGGTAAGTGGAAGAAACATATTAGACAGTCAAGGGCAGGAGCAGGATTTCAGGTTGGATGATGAAGGCTGAAGTCAGGAGAAGATTAAGCAGGAGATATACATTTTGACCCATCAGTTAGTAAAGCTATTTTAACTGATGGGATAGGGCGAGCTTATCAAGGGAGCGAGTGTGCATGAGAGCTCTGTACCAAGTTTCCCCTGGACTCCATGACAAAAAAACAAAAAGAGTTGGTGACAAAAAAAAATGTCTTTTCTAGGCTCTTGGTAGTGCACACTTGTAATCTCAGCACTCGAGAGGCTGAGGCAAGAGGATCACAAAATCAAGGCCTGCCTGGGCTACACAGCAAGACCCTGTCTCAAAAAATAAACAAGGTCAGATTTAGCTCAGTGGCTTTGCACCTGCCTCACAAGCACAAGGTCATGAGTTCGATCCCCGGTACCAAAAAAACCCTAGGGCCAGGGATTTAGCTCAGTGGGGCCAGTGACTGCCTTGTTAGTGTAAGGTCCTGAGTTCAATCCAGGTACAAAAAAAAAAAAAAAAAAAAAAAAAAAAAAAAAAAAAACACTTACTGGCTCACAGTTTTGAAGCCAGAAGTATGAAACCAAGGTGATGACAGGGCCATGCTCCCTCTGCAGCTACAGGGAAGGGTCTTTACTTTTTTCTTCTGTGT